TGTTTTCCCCTAAGTGAGGGATCCACTTATCCAATTTGGGGTTTGTTTTACTTTTTCTGCCAGTTTTCTGTCTCCCCTTCCAGCTGTTACCAGCTTGATTTGTATTTGATAGGGGGAAAAATTGTTCCGTAGCTTTGCAGCATTTGCAGAAAGGAGCATTACCCTATCAAAGGCCATGTAAATTGATGGATTTAGTGTATTAGATTTTGATGTGTAAAATGGAAATACTTCTCCAAGTCTATGGTGACGTCTGAAACTTTTCTGAAAAAAAGTCTGTACTTTGAAAGTCGACAGAACAGGTACCCTAACATTAATACACACGTTTACTTGGAACAATATGCTTGCATCTTCAAAGTAGGATGTCATGCTGGGGTTGTTATGGGGCCTTTAAGAAGACTTTGATCAGTTACCTCCACATCAAAAAGGGCACTACATGTTAAATTCTGTAATTAATGCAAGTGTAAATGCACATTTAAAAAGAAAAATACTGAATTATCCTGCAGGAACAGCACTTCTTTGAGAGCTCTTGTCTTTGTGATTTCTGTGACTCCCTCTCTGTTACTCGGTCCTATACTTTGGAGCTTGTGCTAACGAAAGAACTTGCAGGTAGGTGGCCTTCATGGTTTATGCACCAGTTACAAAGGTGTGGGTCTACAGAGTAGGTACAAGGTCCTGAGAAAATCAAAACACTTTCCTCTTACATGTATGGAATGTGCACAAGCCGTTTGATTAATTGGCAGTTGCGGTGGGGTGGGTTGACTTGGGCTGGGTGCCAGATGCCCACCAAAGCTCCCCCTCAGCTGGGCAGGGGAAAGAAGAAGAAAAAAAAAAAAAAGGAGAGAAAATTAAAAAAAAATAAGTATAAAAGGCTTGTTGGTCAAGATAAGCACAGGGAGAGGTCACTCACTGTCATGGGTAAAACAGTTGACTTGGAAAATTAGTTTAATTATCAATCAAATCGGAATAGGATAATGAGAAATAAATCTATATCTTAAACCACCTTCCTCCCACCCTTCCCTTTTTCCCAGGCTCAGCATTACTCTAGAGTTCTCTGCCTCCTCCCCCTGAGCAGCATGAGAGACAGGGAATGGGAGTTACAGTCAGTTCATCACACGTTATCTCTGCTGCTCCTTCCTTCTCAGGGTGGGGACTCCTCGTGCTCTTCCCCTGTTCCGGTCTGTGTCCCTTCCATGGGGTGTAGTCCTTCAGGAACAGCCTGTCCCAACATGGGTCTCTCAAGGGGTCACAAGTCCTGCCAGCAAACCTGCTTCAGTGTGAGCTTCTCTCTCCATGGGTGCACAGATCCTGCTGGGAGCCTGCTCCAGCGTGGTCTTCCATGGAGTCACAGCCTCCTTTGGGTGCACCCACCTGCTCTGGTCTGGGGTCCTCCACAGGCTGTAGTTGGATATCCTTACCGTTAAACTCCATGGGCTGCAGGGGACAGCCTGAGTCACTGTGGTCTTCACCATGGGCTGCAGAGGAACCTGGAGCACTCCCTTCCGTTCTTTCACTGACCTTGGTGTCTGCAGAGTTTTCCCTCACATACTCTCCTTTCTCTGGCTGAAGTGGCTGTTGCACATTTAGTTTTACCGCCATCTTAAAGTACATTATCACAGAGGCACTACCTTGATTGCTGGTGGGCTTGGCCTTGGCCAGCAGTGGGTCTGTCTTGGAGCCTGCTGACATTGGCTCTGTCAGTTGTGAGGGAGCTTCTAGCAGCTTCTCACAGAAGCCATCCCTGTAGCCCCCCACTACCAAAACATTACCATGCGAACACAGTACAGCAGCCTGGGTGACAGAGTGGTAAGGAAGCTGTGTAGTTCTCAGTTACTCTTCTGTTTTTGGCTGAGACAAATCGTGTCAGTCTTTGTAGCTGCATGTGTTGTACAGTGTGTTTTCAAGAGCTGTAGTGATAACCCTGCAGCAATCACAGTCATGCTTCATTATTAGTTATCACTAACTTTTTCCTAATAACTAACTTACTATCCCTTGCTCCAGTTTGGTGTTATTTTGTATTCTCCATGTCCACAGAAAAATTATTTCCTTTTCCTTGTATTAGCCTTTTATATACTGAAAAATCATTATTCTGTTCTGTCTTGAACATCTTTTCTCTGGACTAAGTAACCCAAATTCTTTTGCTGTTTCCTAATGAGTTCTATTTTCAAGGCACCCATTCATTTTTTGTTCCTCTCTATTCTTGCCTGCATGTTTCTTCAAAAGCATTGCCTGTCCACAGGCAACTGCTGAGGCTGAAATAGAATCTATCAGTTCAACCTGTTAAAAAACAATAAAAATACTTACTATATGATAAGTAACTGATGCCAGCACATTATTGAAAAGCTAGAGCCTGAGGCATTTACTACTGCTCTTATGGTAAGTCTGAAACTTACTGAAAGAAGTCACTTTGGTGAGCTCAGCAAAGCACTCTGGTCACAACTGTCATCTCCCCTAAGAGTCATCTCATCCACTATTGCTCTCTACATTTCTTTCTTTTCTCTACACCTCTTCAAATATAGTCTTCTGGTCACTTTGCTCTGGTAAGAGCCTATGCAGCTGTCTCCCAGCTCTCACTCCAGTCTGTGTAGGTAAGTGCTGTATCAAGCACTGTGTGAGTTTGTTATCCAGGAGCAGTAGTGAGATAGGACTGAGATGGTAGTAGCAGAAAATTAAAGTATGTCTTCAGCCAATTTTTTAAGTGTTTCCCTGTGTTCTGTCTTGGATAAGAGGATTATTCTTGTTGCAAGGGTGTTTCTAGAGATGTTCTTCCACTGAATGTTCTTACCCTAATGTTTCAATATCTTTTATTAATGAGTACCACAGTAATGTGTAATGCTTTCAGAAGGTGCAGGATCCAAAAGATGAAGCTAAACAAATTCATGACACAAACACTTTTCCAAACTATGTAACATTTAACTGGAAAACATCCTTCTGTTTGGAATTGGGTGTTGAAGCTTGTCTTTGCTGTAGAACTCCCTTTCTACATCCGTTTATATATGACTCCCTATAGATAGTCCTGTCTAGTCCTGACCCATTTACTACTTAAAAATCTAAAACTTCTGTGTGAATTTTTTGATGCATATTTATAGATGCAAATCAGATAGTTTATATGTAACTGAGCTAAGACAGAGCTTTTAGTTCTTTCAGGGATTTCTTTTTTCCCAGTTATTGTAGACTCCACCTGTCTTGTACCTTTTACTTAGGCCTTCCTATTTTGACTTGGTTCCTTATTCAAGGTCAGAGTGTTATCTGAATTTTACTGCTAAATTTCTACACATTTTCTCAAAGACTGCCTCTTGTCAGTATCTTCTCTAAAAAAATATTTAAGCTATATTGCCTCTGTTACATCACAATTCTATCAAAACCTATTCTGAAGTATCCTCTTTTTCAGTTTAGATATATTCCATCTTACAGAGTACCTCTGTAAAAGTTCTTTTCCCTGGCTCATTGCTTTCAGAGCCACCTCCATCTCTTCATACCCTACTGCATCAAATACAATTAGATGTCATCTTTAATATTCTTTTCTGGTTTATTTCATGTCTCAGTAGTCATCTCCTCAGATATTAAGATATTGATCTTTTCTTACCTTCTTATGAAAAATGAGGATGTTCTGATTTGCTTATTTTTAGCTACTTTTCAGCTTGCTTCTCCAGTGAGCATCTCTTCTGTTTTATTCCTGTAGACTCTGCAAAAGAGAGAAATTATTTTTATAAATCCAACAGATCTATCTTGTAGTGCCTCTTAAAGCTCTTTTTCTTCGCAGGTCAGGATAATAGCAGAATCATAGAATATCTCAAATTGGAAGGGACCAGTACAGGTCATCAAGGCTAATTTCCTGCTCCTCACAGGGCTACCTAAAACTGAACCGTATGACGAAGAGCATTGTCCAGACACTCCTTGAACTCTGACAGGGTTGGTGCTGTTACCACCCTCTCAGTGAAGACCTATTCCCAATGTCCAGTCTGAACTTCTCCTGGTGCAGCTTCATTCCATTCCCTTGTGCCCTGTTGCTGGTCAGCAGAGGGAAAATGTTTCTATAGTATGTCTGTATTGCATAAGTCATTTTGAGGTATGGTAGCCGATTTTGTTGCATGTTCATACAGTGCTTCAAAATGGTGAATAATGTTATATCCAAACTAAGAAGATACTTTTCCAGAAACATAGTGAATACTGGCAATGCATTAATTAAAATGTATGCTAGCAACTAACTGCTGGTAAAGCTGATTTGTGTCTTGGAGATGTACCAAATGTGCCTTCTTGGAAAACATGCTTCCTATAGGCTTAGAAGGAACTGTCTCCCAGTTCCTCATTTAACTAATAAACATTAGGCTCTGAATGAGGCTATTACAGATTCATGTTCTGAAAGTAAGTAGGAACAACACTAGAAATGAAAAGCGTTTTGTCCTGTCAGTAATTTCTATGTGTAATCAGACTTGAGAGGGAAGATTAAGCCTATAATTATTTTTCTTATGCATTATCAATGAAGGAAAAGCTACAGGGAACTTTGTATATATGGTTTTGCATAGACAATGTTCATAAAAGAATAGGAACTCTGTCTGCAGCATATATATATATATATGAAAAAGAGATTAGAATTTCATAATGTTTAAAATACCGGTGTGGGGAATTCTCCTTTGATTTTTAGCTGCAAAATATAAAGTATGATTTAAAGACTGCTTTAGAAAGCACTTGAGATCCTAATATTGGTAGAGGGAGGTGGGAGGAGAATTGGTATTCTTCATTAGTAGGAACCTAAGCACTATTGCTGGAGAGCATGGAAAGAAGGAAACGAAAATGACACGTTTTCTTTTCATGTTCAACCAGCAATGAAATTTGTAAAATGAACAAGGAGAAAATAAATTATAACTTAATGCACTTTTTTTTTTATAACGTAGAGCTTTTCTAATACAAAGAGCTGAGTGGGGCAAGGAAGTTTCAGTCTTTGTAGTTGGTGGAGATAAATCAGACTTTGTAACTATTTGCAATTGATTCTACTATCTTAGGTTTTCAAGATCAAAGCCGTGCAACTGGCAGGAAAGCTTCTTCCAGCCTTCAACACACCTACGGGTATACCATGGGCAATGGTGAATCTCAAAAGGTAATTAATTGCTTTTGTGGGTAAGTTTGTGTCATCACGCACACACACCCAAGTTAGTAATGGCATATGTTAGCTTTTCTTAGTAGTAGAGTAACAGATAAAATATAAATGCCAGATAAACCAGTGTTCCTGGCACTTTAGAATAATTTTAATAGAGTTCAGAGCATTCTGTTTCTCTAACTGCAGTAAATTGTGACCATGTTTTTTTCTTTTGTCCTGATTCTGCAATGAGAATTTAACATGCCATTGAGACATACCCAGCATAGTATGCCATGTGTTGCCCTAGAGCTTGATCATTGCTGCTTTAGTTGTTAAAGAACCTATTAAAAACCATTATTGTTTGTAGGCCATGGCTGAACTTTACAGGGTTTTATGTCCTGGATGAGCTGTTACCTTCAGAAGACTCACAATGTTTGGGAAGATAATGGGACTTGGAAGATATTAATTAATTTTACAGTTCAGCTTAGGCTTACAAGTTAGTGTGTTGAAGTCCACTATGGTCTGTGGAGATGAAGAGGCTCCTTTAGATAGCTGTTCAAGTCAGACATGGAAATTAGATGGTCTGCATTTCCTTGTAGAGGAGAGTTGCCTTGCTTAGTTTATCTTGTATTGCTTGTTCAGTGCTAGAATTTTCATCAGATTTTGATTTTTTGATGCAAAGCATTTTTAAAATTTTTATTATGTTCATAAACAGTAGCTGAAATGGGATGCATGTCTAGACTGTGTGAATGCTTAAACAATTCACAGTAGTAAACAGAGTTTTCAAATAGTTTTAAATAGTTTTCCTTTTAGGAGAGATTTTGTTGTGTGGTGTTAGACTGTGGAGGGATTTTGGACTGCTTGGAGAGCATTAGCCTTAGATGCCTTTTTGTGATCAGGCAATGATCCTCACTTTGCTGTCAGTCCTCGGGAGAAGATCATGGAGCTGTGGTTTGCCCTTCTGTTGGCACAGGGCCTCACCATCCTTGCCTGATTTTCTTAGCTTTGCCTGTGCTGCTGCCTGTTTATTTGGACCTTGTACAATTTTTTTATTAATTTGGGGTTAATTTTCGCTACACACGTTCTGCAGGACATTATGATTCACTCAGGCTTGTGTTCTTCCTGCAGCTTCATACGGCTTGAAATTCCTCTGTGTGTAGGGTTGGGGTTTTTTGATGTTTGAAGGGCCCAGGTGACCCTGCTCCTCAGGCAGCACCAGCATCTGGTTCACTGGTTCAGACCACATGGATGACAAGAAGCTCCAGGCAGTAGATGTGTAGATACTTATCAGTAAGGCACAGAGGTTGATGGCATAGGTTGGGGTATCAGAGCACAGTCAGCAAGGCAGGACAAGGGAAGAGGAATTGCAGTAGGTGGAGGGGAAAGGATCGGAGTGCCAGAAATTCCTGCGTGCCTGGGGTTGTTTATGCATCTACTGTGTCAGTCTTTTGGTGAGGTACAGAACCAGCCAGCATCACAAGACAAAATAGTGGCTGGCATGCCAGAGGGCAGTGACAGTAGCAGGCATACATGACAATACTTACCACAAGGCTGACATGCAGTGGAAGACAAGACCTGAAAGAAATATTTGGAAAATTATTGGCTTGTGTTTTATTAGATTTTGTATTAATAATGAAACACTTAATTTTCTCTTTTTGTGAGAACTGTACAAAAGAAAACCCTGAGACAAGCTATGACTTTTTTTTTTTTCTTTCTACAACTCTGTAAACAGTGTTAACTATATTTTAAAAGGGGTTATCTCAGGTCAGAGCTACAAATATTGTTCTCTAACCAACACTTGTCCTTTACATTTTCTCTTTATAATCTATAAATTAAATGCTAGGTAAAAAGACTTTCCTAATAGATTGTACTTGTGCTGATAACGGAAATCTTTTGTAAGAGGAAGTAGAAGTAATCTCCAGGAAAATGTAGTTAACTTCAGAAATTAAAGACCTGATTCTGAAATGTTATGAAAACTCCCAGATTAAACCAGATATGATTTAGGAGTTGTAATATCATCTTGCTAAATCATATCTTTTAATAGCAGGACTTTATGATGAGGTTATGCTACCTTTTTTCCAAAAAGACCCAACCATGATTTTTTTTAAAAAAGAACCAACTTGACCAATCAACTCCCATGATCTTAAGTGTGAGTTAGTGTTTTGGTGTTACTTGTTTGATTTGCTGTGGTGGTTGTTACTAGTACTGTGCACAGTAATTCTGAATTCTTTGTTTTCTCCCTTTTTTTATGCATGTTTGTTTGGAATGCAGTGGTGTGGGTCGAAACTGGGGCTGGGCTTCTGCTGGCAGCAGCATCCTTGCTGAGTTTGGTACTCTGCACATGGAATTCGTCCACCTCAGCTATTTGACAGGGGACCCTGTATACTACAACAAGGTGGGTCTCAAATTCATGGTTTTAGCATACAGTTCTCTTTTACACTGTTTCATCATAAATTACAATAAAGTACTTTCTGTATTAATTGTATTCACATTCTTGGTAGCAGGTAAATTTTTCATACTTGTATTTCTGTTACCAAATAGGTGACTTTTTCAAGTAGAAATCTGTGACAACATGTATTTTCTTATTTGTTTCAGCATACATTTAAAAATCATGATTTTGAACATCTTCGTGTGAGCAGTCCTTTAAAAACAAAAATGTACTAATCTGCAGGAAGCCCTCAAGAGAGTTTCTGGGTTCAGATTAGTAAAATTAACTAAAAAAAAAAAAAAATAATTATATTTGACTGTGTGCAGAGAGCAGATGAATGTTGCTAGTGTTGATCCCAATTTTGGATTTAATTTAGGTCATGCACATTCGGAAGTTACTACAAAAAATGGATCGTCCTAATGGACTTTATCCAAATTATTTGAATCCAAGAACAGGCCGGTGGGGTCAGCGTAAGTATTCTTATTTTATTCATTCCTAATTAAAGCTCTGCTTCTTACTTTGCTGCTAAGTTGGAGATCATTGCTTGAAAATATGTGATGTAGGATTACTTATAGTTGAGATGTCTTGAAAACAATTTTTGCCTGTCGTGCTCTCTAAAGTTATGCAGCTTCATTTTTTTTATTTTTTTTTTTTATGCTACTTCCTAAAGCGGTTTCCTTTTATCAATCAATAAAATCTTCAGAATAAAGAATGAAGCTGAAAATAGTTCCTGCATTTTAGTTTTATTTCAGGTTTTGTTCTGGAAACCGTCTTGTAAGTGGAGTACTATAAGGTAATGTAGAAGTAATGTGTGTTTGTGGTGGTTACATTTGAGCTCCTGGTGTTAAGGACATTTACAAACTTCATTCCTCTACTTGGTGGCATGTGAAGCGGCATGATGAACCTCGCTATAAATCCTGCTGGTATCAGAGTGTCTCTCATTTAAACAAAAGAAGCCAAAACTGAACCAATGGACATATGAACTGAGACAGATGAAAATGCTGAGGCTTAGACAGGAATTTTTCTTTTGCTTCCCCTGCAGAGATTGTGTATCCTGCAGCACAAAAATCAGTTAAGTAAGGGCGATGCCCTCACACCCTACATCACACTTCATCACAGGACCTGTGTCAGAGACCCTGATACTGGTACTGACTTGAGTCACATTGTTGGTGTTAAGGGTAGGCAAGGCTTTTACATCCTCCACAGAAGGCAATTTCAAAGAACATTGTGTTTGGCTTGTTCTGTACTACAGTACTGGAAAGGCAGAAACAATGGCAAGAGTACCAAAGAATAACTTTTCTTCTTTCAGCATCTGGGAAAGCTGCCCTTTTCATCTTTGCTGTGACCTTTACTTTGATGCATCTTATCCTGCACAAAGTACTTTCTCCAGATAGTTTCTGAGAAATATTTCAGAACTCTTTTATTTGCCTAGATACATCTAACTCTTGATTGTGACCTTTCTTGGGTTTCCTTTTTTTTTTTTTTCCCTTTCCTTTTAACATTTTTTTTCACCTCTTCAGACTTTTTTGGCCCAGTTCTTAGTTTTTCTGTTAACCTGTAATGTTCCAACTAAATAATGAGAGGTGTGAAATACATAAAATAAATTTACATAAATACATACCTAAGTACACTGTTGAAGAAATATAGGATTCTAATGGTGGGTTTATTTTCTTTCTCTATACCTGTCATTCTAGCAGTGGATATGTTCTAATGGTGGGTACGCTTATTCGAAGTAATAAAAATATCAGTGATGTGCACACAGCAGTCAGATCAATTAATGCTACTAGTACCAGTTGATTATCCAGAGAATATTGAACAAAATATTTAATGGAAGAATTCATTTAGGTCAATTTTCATCAATAATTCTGTTTTGTCTTTATCTTTTAATTTTATGGGGTTTTTTTTTGTTTTTGTTTTTTTTAATAAAATACATTTTATTTTAATAGTGGAAAAATAGATACAGTTTTATATTGTTTTTCTGTTTAATCTTGTTCTAACAGGCTGATAGGTAAACTTGAATACTTAAAGACAACTCTTTCAAGACAGATTTGTGGAAGGAAAGGGAAGCTTCAGAGAGATTCAGTGGTTTTGGTGTGGCCTCATAGGACTGTAAGCAGGATGTATCTCTCTATGTGCAACCAGAATTTTGTGGAAAATTCTTGATACCTTCTACCTTGATACAGTATTTTGATAGCTTCTCAGAGGCATTTGCATGAGGATCCCAGGCACTCCTCATTTTGTCTTTTAACCAAAAACTCACAAGGATTGCTTCTGCTTTATTTGACTTGCAATCCCAAGTATTAAATGTTAGTGTGAGCAGCTAATGTGCCTTTGAAGTACCCGATTTAGAAATCTTTTCTTCCTTTATCCTCTTTGCTCCAGAGATGTGTGCAGTGATTTATGCTGCCATATAAGTAACTTCTTAGCACATGTAAGGTCTCACAACATACTACCTTTTTTTTTTTTTTGATCTCAGATCCTGCAGACACTAAATGTTGTGTTGGCCATCAGAACTCTATAATTCACAAATATGAAGCTTATTTCTCTCATGATGGTGATAGGAAATTAGAGTAATAAAATTCAGTGCTAGGTCCTATGGAAGGGAAGGGTGATATTTATTTGTTTACAGAGTCATTAATACAGCTGATTTTTACACTCTCTGTTTCTCCTAAGTTTAATTTAGTCGTAGGTACTAAGACGTGTCCAAGTTGTCTGGACTTAAAAAAGGACACTGCTATCTAGTCCTTTTCACATATCTCTTGAATGATGATGATAAGATAGTTTTTGGATAGATCTTTCAGATTTTTTAGGGATCAGCAATTGTTAGGAGTTTTTTCTATGCCTCATAATATTCCTATCTTTAACCTTCATAGATTTTAGGCCATGTTGCTGTGTCTTACCTGTTTTTCCTCATTTAAGTGTGTGCTTAAAATACATGTGTGTGGTCTGTTCCCTTCTCAGGCTAAAGGAAGAGGAACAATGTACATAATATGATGCAGCCATGCTACCACCCATCTGATGTTAGGATGCAGGTCTGATGAGTCATTTCTGCTGTGGTTTGATTTATCAGAGTGCAGGACTATTGATCTTGACATATTCTGCAGTTTCACTGCTGGGGAGTGATGTTATAGGACAGTGCCCTGTGACATACAGACCAAAAACTCATCCTTTTGGCTCATTGTTCTGCTTCTGCTACTAGTTAAAAAAACATGCATTTTCATTCCAGTCAGTCAATGTTTCTCTCACTTTACTGATGATACCTTTTTAGCTATTTGTAACTTACCAGTCAACTAGTAATTATGGTTTAATCAGGAAGGATGTGACCATGGCTTCCAGGTTCTTAAAAAGTTGGAGAGATTAATAGAGTTACATAGTGTAACCTTAATCTATAGCCATGTCTTTATACTGTTTACATTTTTGTGTATGTAGGTTTCTGTGTGCATTTAGTGCATTTTATGTAGCACTTGAGGAAAGGTTCTGGCGACAACTTATCTTCTTTCTTTTTCTGCCTGCCTTGTGAAGGAGCAGGATTTGGAACCACAGTAGGCAAGGCTGCACAGGGACTGTGGCTGCATTCCATCATTTCTTTCCATTTGAATGCCATAAAACCCAGTCCTAAAGCCAGATGAATGGCTTACTGGTCACTTCTAAACCTCCATGCTTCCCAGTGGAAATGCTTCATAATACACCTGTACATAACTGGACCTGTACTGCTATGTAGCAGGAGGGGAGTTCATTACATCTAGGAGGAGGAAATTGATGTCATGTGTAAGCTAAAAATTTGTGTTCAAGCCTATAACAAACTGGTATCGTTACAGCATGAGCAGCATGACAGACAGCTTTTTAATGGGTCCAGCTCAGGATTTGTCAGCTCACTGGGGCTTTTGCTAGAAGGTAGAGCTACAATGCCCACAGGAATGCTGAGAGCTTCAGTTCTTACTTATGGACTAAGGTGATGGTCCAGTAGGAACAAGTGATTTACAGTACTTCAGCTTTGAGGTTTCGGTTCCTATAAAACTGAAAGGAAAAGACCTGGGAAGAAGCATACTCTAACCTCCCACATTAACCTACAGTTAATTTTGTTAGCTTTTTGTTTCACTTGGTGAGTGGTTGGTTTGATGTAAGCATCAGAACGTTGAATTTAGATTCTTCTCAAAAAGGAGTGACAGTGCTTTCTCGAGAAGCCTGCTAGGCAGATACAATGACTAGAATTTGGATTAAAAGCAAGAGATTTTGGACTTATGTAAAACAATTTATACTGAAGAAAGATTATTTTAAGTGGAAATATGTTGAAAAAATGTAATTCTAATATGCATTTGGCGAACAGGTTAGGTGAGAATACCAACTAGAGCCACAGTAAAAAAGACCATGCCAATCTGCATGTTATTGCAAAGTCAGGACATGCTGCTCATGGTTACCTATGTCTTTAAGTTGTGCATTCTTCCTTTCTGCTTTCCAGTACTGAGAACAAATTGTTGTATTTCATCTGTTTCCAGCATCTCTTGCAAGTAGTAATGTTACTGAAGGGGAAGTCAAATCACTTTGGCTTCACATGTCAGTTCCAACAATTGGGCTACCTGTGGGGTTATCTGTGTTGGTTATGTAAAAAAGTTGTGCCAGTTGCACTGAGATTAGGTTTTAGATTATATATGGCTTCCATGTACAAGAAAATAGGCAGAGATGTCTATTCTATTTTAGCCTTCTCTGTTTATTACACCTTAGTGATATTTGATCACACTAACAACTTATTGTAAAGTAAGGTAGCATGTGAATTTACAGTGTATGAGCTGAGTGTTACTATTAGGGATGTAATAGCAGATACTGAAATTACCATCACTGAATGTTAATGTGATGAATATTCAGAGTGCAGTCTCTTCTACTGTGCTTTGTTCACGTCTCCTTACCAAAAACAAGCCCCTTTATTCAGACTTGCAAGTAGACTAAGTTGAAAGCCTGATAAAGGGTATTCTGTCAGCTTATTTACAAGAACTCACTAACGCCAACAGGACATTGGTCCATGTATGTATTGCTAATACACTGCATTGAAATGTTGTCTTTCATGTACAAAGTGATGACTGTCCTCTACAGACAAATAAGATGCACAGGTATTTAGCCTGCCTGGTTACACACTCCACCTTAGCACCTTTTGGTGATGTTCTCATTTTCTTGCAGTTCCCTGCATCTGTTACTACAGAATAGGTAGAGGAGCAACCTAGGTGGCTGAATGAGAGAAATGTATATCCTCTGTTTTCCCATATTGTGCTGATTACTAGCCTTTAAATAAACCAAAGCAAGTGCCTTTGTGGATCTGCATATTCAGTTTCTTCTGATAGTCTTTCATTTTCAACAAAAAGTGCTTAAGTTAAACAGAACCAATTTTAAAATACTATTTAGAGAAAGTTTCAGTGGATTTAATTAATTGGGATTAGATTTAAGCTTCTGTTAAAATGGTACAATTTTCACATGTAGG